CCATGCCTAGGAGCCAACACTGGACTCAGGGGAGGTCACCCTGGGGCTCCATTTCTGCCCTCCCTCCAGGCCTCAAATCCTCTGATCCTGGCTGGAAGCTCTCCATGGAATCAGGTGGACTCAGCAAGCAGGAGCTGCGGGTGAGGAGTGAGGGACACCAGCAGAGCTGTGGGGAGCCTAGGCTGGCAGGGGGTATGGACTGAGAGTGAGGGGCACTGGCAGGAGGAGGAGGGGTAGGGCTGGGTTAGTAGCACCTGCGGGGCAGGAGGGAGGGGCATCAGTAAAGGTGAGGTTGCAGGGACTGGAAAAGACAACAGATGCCAATGGCTTGTGGATGGTGAAAATTGACTCAGTGACAAACAATGTAGGAGGGCAGGAGACACACAGACAGAATAACAGACAGACTTAAGAGTTAGGAACAGCCCGTAAAATTCCCTCCCCTCCAGGGACACCTCTCCTCCCCTCCAGGGACAGGACAGATCCTAAAAATATGGTCTATCACACAGCACTGAGATGCAGCCACCTCTGGGGCGGGATGGACAGTTACATGGATGCTGAGATGTGGCCACCTCTGGGGCAGAGCAACTGGTCACACAGGGACACCCCAGTGCTGAGATTCAGCCACCACTGGGGTGGAGCAGTTGGTTACACAGGGACCTGTCAATTCCACTAAGCCTTTGCCTCCTGCCCAGATGAAAATTGATCAAACCTAATGCAGTATCCTACTCCCCTCCCACAGCCAGGAAGAGAACCCAGGAGTTCTGGCTCCCAGCCCTCCTGCTCTAACCACCAGGCCCCCTTTCCCCCCAACCAAGCAAGATCCCAGGCATCTGAGTACTCACTGATGATGTAATATTCTTGATTGCTCTTGAATTCGTGTCCCCAAAGATTGGGGCTGTACTCCTGGAACTTAATGGTGAAACGCACATCATGCTCAGGACGGTCACACGTCAGCAGCAGGTTGGGAATGCGGAGGATCTCGCAGGCCCGCGCCTGCTCCACTGGCACCAGGTACAGCTTGTAGAACTCATACTCATCTGTGGAGAAGGGGCCAGGTGGGCGGGAGCGCGGGCAGATCAAATCCAGCCGGTCACCAATCTGTGGGTACAAGATGTAGCCGCCTGCCGCCTGGAACCTGCCGGAGAGGGGATGTCAGTGAGGGAACAGATCCTGTGCCCCATTCCTTCCCCCCCTGAGCCAGCCATGACTCCGGCCCTCCCACCATGTCTTTGGCCACAGACCAGCCTCAGGGTGAGGGGAAGGCCAATGGGGAGCTGGCTGCATTAGTATCTGGGACCCAACGAAATCCCTCTCTTCTGGCCGCACGGTGCCCCCAGCAGCATGCCACGTCCCAGCATAAGGGTGGGCCCGAGCATGGCCTCCATGACAGACCCTAGGGCGAGGGATGCAGAAACATGGGCTGCTCACCCTCAAGGCATGAGAAACGCCCTCTGTGCCCAGAGCAGACAAGTCTGATTCCCACCTTGTGCCCTACAACAGGTGCAACTTTGCACCCTGCCTGCTCTGTGACACCCCCTGACCTTTTGGCTACAGAGACCTCTCAGCTCCCTCTTCCCCCCTGCCAAAGCTGCTGATTTCAGGGAACAAACAGAAGCAAAACAGCCTCCAAAATGGCAGCAACCTCTGGGGCGGGGCAGCCCGTTACCCAGGGATCCTTCACCTGGTGCTGAGATGCAGCCACCTCTGGGACAAGGTGCCTAGTTACATAGGGACTCCCTGCTCTAGGTGAGGGGTACCACATGCACCCTCCTCCCTTCCTTTGGCAAAGAACCCAGCAGTCCTAGCTCCAAGCCATGCCTCCATTCTAACCACCACATACACTTTCCCCTGTCTGCAGTGGAGTCAGATGGAGTCAGACCCCACCAGGGGCTCCAGGAAACTGATTCTGTCCCACCCTCGTCAGATAAATGTTCAAGAAATCCCTAGTCACTTCCCTGTCTCTGGGCATGTTCCTATCAGGCCTGCTGGGGGTGACCCTGCAGAGTCAGTGAATTCAGTGACATCCTGGCTTCTCTCCCCAGCTCCGGAAGGGAGTGGGGGCTGGTGGGTCAGAGCAGGGGACTGGGAGCCAGGATTCCTGGGTTCTCTCCCCAGCTCCAGAAGGGAGTGGGAGTTGGTGGGTTAGAGCAGGGGGCCGGGAGCCAGGATTCCTGGGTTCTCTCCCTGGCTCTGGGAAGGGAGTAGAATCTGGTGGGCCAGAGTAAGGGGAGGATGGGAGCAAGGACTCCTGGGTTCTTAGCTTGAGAATGGGAGCTGGTGGTTAATGTGAGCAGCAGGGCCAGGGCTGGAAGCCAAGACTGCTGGGTCCTATGCCAGAGTTAGGGCTAGCACCCAGGAGTCCTGTTGGCCATGGGCTCACCAGCTGCACTGTCTCTCTCTAGGAGTGGGAGTTCCAGGGAATTTATCCTGTATTTCCTCTGCCAGCCTGGGCCAAGCCTTCATGAATTTACAGAGGTTGGGGCAGAACATCTCACCGGCTATTCCTTCCTGCCCCACCAAACCACACCAGGGGGCTCAGATCTCTGTATTCCTGTGCTGTCTAGCACGCAGCCCTCATTGAGAGGCACTGCTCTGTGAGTACCACAGCCTGGAGATATCTCTCAGTAAATTCTTTGCCTACTGGCCTGGTTCAAAGACATGCCTTCACAAGAGACGCGCTGATTTTTGTTAGGAGGGGGCCATGCTGGGGAGTAAACTCCGTGTCTTTCTCTTTGGCACGTCTTTGTTGAATATCAGCATCTAATTTGAAAGTATGTTGGCACGCCGTGCTGTATTGATTTTGGGCATTCAAATATTTGCTATTTAATAAGATCAACTGCTGTAGATTTGTATTGATCGGAGGGGGCTGAATGTTTGCTACTTATATATTTAATCGGAGGACTTGATTTCTAGCACAGAGAGACAGTATCACCGTCATTTTACACCTTTGCAAGTCAACATGCTTAAAAATAAGTCTCTCTTATCACATATAAGTGGAGGCCATCTTGAAAGTTATCCAGTAGCTACTCCCCACCTCAGAGGCGGCCGCCTCTCAATCCAGGGTGAGCCTGTGGGAAGCCTGCGTTAAAGGTTTTCTGAGAAGTCACACAAATCGGCGTTGGGCCCAACTGCGAAGCTCTGCTCTGCTCTGCTCCGTGTTCCTCCTGAACGTTAAAACATTTGCCACGAACCATTTGTGATAAAGAACTGATCCACCAGATTGGGCACACGTTAAGCTGCTCTGTCTAATAAGAGAAACTAATTTTCAGCTGCTTAGTGCATTATATTTGCCTTCCTAATTTTAATCAAAGGCTAGTGTTCATGAGAAATAACTCCACCTGCACCGGGGTGAGTGTTGCAAACTTCCGTATGTCTTTTTAAACACCTACAGAACTCACTGGGAGTAATCTTAATATCTACTACAGGGCAGCTAGTAACACAATATACTTTCTGTCCCTTCTGGCCTTGGCATCTAGAAAATGGTCAAGTGGCTTCGAAACCAGAGCCTGAGGCAGAGTTTGTGGAATAAATATGAGTTATTGCCATGAAAGGGACTCCCAAAATTTTCGCTTACAAAAACATCCACTGTTTAAGATCATTAAAAAAAATCAGTCAATGGCTCCTGATAGATTTGACACCAAAAATCTTCATTAACTCCCCCCAAAATGGGAGTATTTGAGGGTCACATAAAAGAAAACCACTTCTCCAAGAGTGGCATGGAAAAAATGGATTCTGCCAGAGGTGGGGGGAAGAGTTATTTTGCTATTGGGTTTCCGCAGGTCCTAAGAAATTCTAGCAGCCAAGGATGATCTACTGGGGTGTCAAAACATTAAGTGTCAGACAGACATACTTCAAGAAAACTAGTTGCCTTTGCAATCGACAAAGAACCAATACAGAGCTGCAGAGAGACTTGGAAAAAACTGGTGTCTGGCCAGGCTGCGGAAACTCACTGGCCCTGAGTGCAAGAGAGGAAGAAACACAGTCCCTCCTCGGTTGATCCTGTATATCTCCTGGAAACTAGCTTTCTCAGCTGAAGTCAATGGGTCATGTATGCACAGGGCAGGATTCTTAGCCGATATCCATGGGCGTCGGAAACAGCCAGATGCCCATGGGAGTCAGTTCTGGGTACAGTCCAGGGATGCCGCACCCACTCCCAACCACTGCAGATCCCTGCTGAGGTTTGCAACCCTTCCCACCACTGGAAGAAGGGCCCTCGGCTGGTAATGTGGAATGGACGCCCAAGCGAGGGGCAAGCACAGTCCAATTATTCAAAGGGGCCTAGGAGATTCAGAAGCCTGCCTGGGAGCATCAGGCTATTACAGTCCAGTTCTCCCAAGGGATTTTGATACCTTGCTCCTACAGATTTATCCAAGAGGCCTAAGCAGGGCTTCATTTGTTGCAATAGAGGCCTCAGGTCCTTAAATCTTTTTTTTTTTTTGTACATGTGTAACTGATGCAGACAGTCTAGAGGTGCGGGAAGCTCTGAACTGGCAACACCTTGGCACTGGGCCTCTGAAAATGGGACTTGGTGTTCAGGGCATATTTTGAAAACATTTTGAACATTTTCTAGCCATAAGCCAGTCGGGCATCTTCCAGCATCTTCATACCTTTAATGATCCATGTGCTTGGAGACTAGTGTGAGTGTGTGTATGAGAGAGGGATAGAACCTAAATCAACTCCCAAGCAATCCTAGTTGTCTTTTCTTTAAAAAAGTGGCTTAAAAAAATAGCAACATTTATTTCTTACTCCCCTGACACACACACACGCCAAGTCCCAACTCCATTAGTGACAATGAAATCGGTCCCCGCCCACAAATGTAGCTACCAGCTCATGTGCTATTTTTATTTTGTGCCATCAAATAAATATGTTTTAAAAATAAAGCAGCCCCTCTCTTTTTAAAATCATGTCTCCCATCCTTTGGGGATGGGGGAATGAAAGGAAAGAAACATCCACCCAGAAAGAGGGGAACAGGAGCTGAAAGCACCCCTCTCCCTGATCTGTAAGCTGAGGCCTTACGGAGCCAGCGGACCCTCTTTTCAGGGGGCGTGTGTGTGTGTGGAAATGATTTAGACAAATAGATCCATTAGCTAGAATATTTATTTGTTGCTAGGAAGCGCTGACACATGCTGATGGGATAATTGTAGCATTTATGAATCACAGTTATGTTCCATATTTCTGGCAAACGGCGGCGAACCAAGCTCCACACCACTCCATGCTCGCAAACCCACTGAACCCCTGAAAACTTTGTCATTTTCTCAGTATGGGGAAGGGGCTTTTGACTGAGCCCAGAGGGGTGGGTCACCACAATTCCTAGTGGATGGAACAGCCTGGCAGTCCTGTGGAATAATCTAGCCAGAAGGGAGGAAAATAGATACTTTCTAGATCCACGGGCAGAGAAATGCCAGCGTATATTAACACTGGGGGCTGGGTATGCTCTCAAACCCCATAAAACATTGTTCAGATCTTCAACAAACAGAGGTTGCATGGGTGGTGATCAAAAATGAAAATTTCTGTGGGCTATGCAGAGCCACACAACATGGCTCAAGACCTAAAGGTAACTTTAAAGAAGCCATCCATCTAGAGCGGGATGAACCCATTTATTAGACACACATTCCCACTAAATAATTTCAAGGGGACAGCAAACCACACAGGCTCACACAACTTAAGAAGTCACCACTATAAAGCTAAACACACACACTGGCATTATTACTCACAGGAAGAATTAAGTGCAAGGACAAGAAGGAGTCCTGTGGCCCCTTAAAGACTAACAGATTTATTTGGGCATAAGCTTTCATGGGACAAAAACAATTTGTCAGATGCATGGAGTCAAAACACACACACACACACAAATGAACTTTAAAAAACCACCAATATAAATCCACTATCTCCATTAGGCACACATACTTCACACACACTGACTGAAGGCACTAGGAAAAATGCACACAAATAACTTGGAATACACACACTTATACACCACCCGCTCAAATGCTGCGACTGAAAGCCAGACACCCAAACTATTCAGAGCAAGCAGCTTCCAAAATGCACACACATCCCTCTTTGATGCACAAACTTTCCCTCAAACACCACCATCTCCTACACACCCATACTCCAGTACCCTCTCCCACTTCTAAAGGCCACTAGATTTTTTTTCTAAATGCCAGAACATCTCAACTTTACAATAAAAACAGATTTTTCCTAATTTTAAAAAATAATTTTAAAAGACCACCAATTTCAGAAACTGATTCTTTTAAATAAAACATTGTCCTAGACTGAAGGGATACAAAATCCCATTTTATGAAGAACAGCCCCCCTTCCCCACACATCCACCAAACATACTTTTCAAACTGGGTGGAATGAAGAGGCGGTAAAAAGGGAAAGAAAAAAGTTTTCCAAGAGGATTACATTTCAGCCTTTAGGGAGTGAAATAGACACAGATGACTGTAAAAAACATTAGTCAGTTACACCTGAAATTGATGAGATGGGGGGGGGGGCTTGCCATTTATTTTTCTCTTCACTTTTTTCCTCCCCTCTCCTCTGAGATTTGCAGCAACTAAAATTAATCCCAGCAACCAGTGATTCCAAACATGGGGGGGGTCCTTCCCTCCCCCCATACATTCCCTCTTTATAACAGAAAACCAAGATTTTTCCCTTTTCCCCACTTACTTTTTGTTTGCTGTATTCCAGTATATTGGCTCCAAACTCACAGCGGATATAATCCACAATTCCAGCAAGGAAAACAGTAGCCCTATATAAAATCCAAGCAATGAAGTCCCCAATGCCATGACTGCAAAGGAAAGGAAATGTTTACCCCTCTTCTTTCTGTTTTCTTCTGGAGAATCACACACATACACACATACACACACTCCAAAAAATTAAGCTGATCCCAAACTTTTACGACTTTGCTCCCAGCTCCCTCTCTGCAAGCCCTTGGTTGGGTAAAGTTTTATGAATTTTTTTTCCTGCCTGGATTTTTCATGCAAGCTTTGCCATAAAGCTAGAAAGTTGTGTGTGTGCGTTTTTCCAAGCTCCTAATGCCATCTTCAGAGATGAAGCTAGCTCTGGAGAAAAACATACATCTATACACACAGAGAGCCAGAGCATTCTCCTCCACTTCTCTTCTGTGCCTTTCTGCTCTCAGCTCCCCTGAGTTGTGAGGACACAATGTTGTGAGACACAAGAAAGGGAGGGTGAGGGGAGGAATTCATTTGAAAGCACCCCCTGGAATCCTTGTCTTTGGTGAGATGGGTTTTTTTTTCTTTCTTTCTTTTTTTTAAAGGTTCAGCACTGAGTAACTCCAGAGATGAGCACACAGAATGGAAGTAAGCAAAAAGGAGGAGGAGCAGGAGAAAAGAAGCGGTGAATGTGAAAAACTGGAAAAAAAGAGAGAAAGAAACACAGAGGGACACACACACACACAAACAGAGAGCCCGGGATCTGGAGTCTGGACATGAAGGAAGATGTGGAAACAGGATCAGGTATTAAATTCTAGCCAATGAACAGCAGCACACAAATAAAACAGCAGAGAAAGCCAAGCAAGGTTGCTACAAGACAGGAATATTTCGCAGCTCAGTTCTCCCTGCCTCTCCACCTTCCTGTCAGGAATAATCAGCTACACGGTCGCTTGACACAAAAAGAAAGACATCAGCCTCCTCTCCCCGATCTGCTTTGCACAGAAAGGAAAAAAGAGAGAAATTTCTCTAGGGTTATGTGGTGAATGCCCAGCACAGTTCTTTGTGTGGGTAGGAAAAGGCAGATTTAGTTTAGAAAGTCACTTTTAATCCAGGTGGGTAAAATGGTTTTGGAGAGGAAAGACGTGGATTTGAACATTGTTTTGGGTTGGGAAAGGACTTTAAAAAAATCTTTTTATTTCTGCACGCACATATACATCCCCAGGTGTGGTGGGTTTCTTCAGCTGGAAGGTTTTCTTGGGTCTTCTTAGAACCAGACAATCTGGCAGGGCTGAGAGTGTTTGGGGCCTGGGATGGAACTTCACAAAGCAAAATTTACCAGGTGGGATTTCTCGGTGAGATCAGGGGCAAAGAGGGGGGTCAATTTGAACTCCTCCCCTCCTCCCTCACATTCGATTGCCAAATCTGATTAGAGAGGGTTCCCAGTCTCTTTAAAAACCCTGCATTCATTCAAAGGCCATGACTGAACCTGGCCTCTTGTCTCCTCCCATGGGGGAGGCCAGAGGACTTTGCAGGGAGGATTCCTTCACTGAGAACCACTTGTGGAGGTTAGTTTAAAAATTACTCCAGGGTTCGCTGGTGTCAACTCACAGACACAGGGCCCAACAGGGCTGTGAATTCGCTTCAAGACAGAGTCGATTAGGGATAAATAGTTGCTTTTATTAATCTCACTACGTCACTACTATTACAGGCAGGGGCAGATGACCATTTTGCGGGGCCCAGGGCAGCACAATTTTGCGGGGCCCCCCTTTGCCACGGCTCATGCGCGGGGCTTCTTGAAGCATGGGGTCCGGGGCAGCCGCCCAGCTCACCCTGCCCTATATCCGCCCCTGATTACAGGCTTAATACTGGCAAATAGATTTGTAAAATAATACAAATCTCAGCATAGGCAAAGCAATGCATATAAGAGTAACAGGCACCTGGAAATGCTTACACCCTTCCAGGTCTGCGGGGAGTCTCATTCTGGTTACCTCACATCTGGCCGCAGTGGATGTGGCTCCAGCTAGGGGGATTCAGGACACCCTTGGAGGTCTAGGTCCCTGTTGAGACTCAATGGACACGGGACTCCCTACATAGTTATACTACGGGGCTGTCTACACTGGGCCACTTATTCCGGAAAAGCAGCCACTTTTCCAGAATAAGCTATGAGCTGTCTACACTGGCCGCTTGCTTTTCCGGAACAGCAATGACGATCTACTGTAAAATTGTCAGTGTTTTTCCCGTTCGGGCAAAAGTCCTTTTCCGGAAAAACTGTTCCAGAAAAGGGCCAGTGTAGAAAGCCCAGGAGTCTTTTCCGCAAAAAAGCCCCGATCGCGAAAATGACGATCGGAGCTTTTTTCCGGAAAAGCGCGTCTACATTGGCCACGGACGCTTTTCTGGAAAAAGTGCTTTTCTGGAAAAGCATCCTGCCAATGCAGACGCATTTTTTCCATAAATACTTATAACGGAAAACTGTTCCGTTTTAAGCATTTCCAGAAAAGGGTGCCAGTGTAGACATAGCCCAGTTGTTTACCAGGTGTGCACGTACCTGGCTCAATGCCATTCTTATCACTCTTATGGGCTGAGACTGAGGTCAAACTTGTTTACCACTTATTAGTTTCCCAGCTCAAGGCATGGGTTAAAGCTGATAAATCCCAGCTGCGGTTTGGGCTCACAGCATCCTACACCATGATAAGCTGGGTACAGCAGGGATGGAAACTTCCATCCCAGGCCTGCTAAGCTGCAGGACCCACATATGACTTTCATGTGACAGCTGGTTTTAAGGGCAACGGAGTTTCCTATTAATTTGGGCCATGGCCTGTCCCAAGACAGTTGCATGGATGGAGAACCACTTTCCAGCAGAGATCTTTGAACACATCTCCAAGGCTTGCTGGAATTTCTTGACATACCGAGCTTCCAGGGTTTGGGTTTTCTGGGGAAAGTGAGGAGGGGCTTGTGAGGAGGCTGTGGGCAAAAGACGTGTTCCCCTGAGCCATCCAGGGCAGAAGGGGTCAAATGGGACAAACAGGAGGGAAGCTGGCATGACACACAAAAGTGTATTAGCACCCCTAGATGTAGGCAGGGAGGGGAAACTTGGGGGGACAGTATAATTTTAGTGCCAGGAGTGGTGCTATAGGGGATTCTGTAGGTGGAGCTGCAGGGAAGTTGAAAGCCAGTGACACCAAGCTCTCCAGCCCCAGCAGAAAATCAAGACCCTGGTGCCTGAGGAGGAGTCTGGGGAACAAGGGAGGTGCCCTTCAGAAAGGGAAAGAAACTATCACTGGAGGGTGGGTGGAGGGGAATGAGAATCTGGATCCCAGGTTTGGCACAGACACCCCTTCCACTAGACCCCACTCCCCTCCCACAGCCGAGGAGAAAACCCAAGAGTCCTCAGTCCCAGTCCCCCTGCTCTGATCCACTAGCCCCAATCCCCTCCCAGAGCTTGAGGAGAGAACTCAGGAGTCCTGACACCCCACAGGGTGACCATTGCAGTGTATCCCCAAGTTTCCAAGGGCCAAGAAGCCTCTGTTTTGCTTGCAAACCATTGCAACATATTGCTCTCATACACATCACATCCCTTCCTCTTCCCACCCCCCCACCCCCAGCTGCCCTCAACTGGTAGCTGCATGAAAATGCCTGATCCCCTTCCCCATCCCCCACACTTGACAGCACTATCCAGCACCCCCCACAGGCCAGGAGGGGGCTGGCAGGACTTTGTGTTGAATAGAAGCCCTGATATCCTGCTAAGCAGGGCTGGGCTGATACAGAATTTGGAAGGGAGATGGCAGCATGATGGGAGCTCTGCAGGGGGTGCTCTCCCCCAGCAAGCAGGGTGGTGCTCACAGGCAGGGGTTTAGTGGGGGGGGGGGTCTGTGTATCAGAGCCATGGGAAGGGGGGAGCTATAGCCCACAAAGAGGGGTCATGGGGGTGGAGTATTTGCCCAATGCAAACAAAGGCAGCTGGCTCCATCTGGTGGCCTGTCGGGTTGGTGCAGTCAGTCTGCACTGGCTGCCAGGGTCAGGGTAACTGGGAACGCCCTGCACTCCCCACAGCACCTCCTACTGCAAAAGGTTAGGATCTCCCTCTCCCCCCAGCCCCACACCCATAGGGGACAGCACTTCTGCCCCAATTGTGTCACCCTCTAGCCAGAGAAGCGGCTGCATCCGCCCTGCCTCTCCCAAAACCCACATTCATGCCCCCTGCCAGGGGAGCTGGGCAACTTGTCGCAGTTCAGATCCAGCCTGCGAAGGTGTGAGATTGAGGCAAGCAGAGACAGGCACCAGGAGGGAACTTGATGGAGCTGCTGAAAGTGAGAGGAAAAAGGGGGGTATTAAATCCTATTAGTGCTGAGTGGGTGGGGGAGAGATATGGGAGATCACAGACTGCTATGTGTCATAGCCCCTACACTAGTAAGTGATGAGGGAGATTCCTCAATGTATCCTCCCCCTGCCCCCCAACAATGCTGAGATCTGTCACCTGTCCCCCACAAACTTTCAAGGTTAATTTGTCTAACACAAAAATCATCCCCAACCCCATCCCAAACAACGGAACGGCTTGGTGGGGTGGAGAGAAGCCCTACAATAATAGATCTTTAGGTCTTTTGAGTACACTGCATGGTTTTGTCTTTGTTATTGTAGGGTCCTTTGAACTCCAGCCGTGGTCACTGTTATTGTAGGGCCTTTAAAACACAGACAGTCGAGGTCACTTTGTTATTGCAGGGTTTCTGGGGACACAGGCGGAGTGGAGGAGAGCAAACACAGAGATTCCAGGACACAGACAGACCTATATGTCTCTTTGACCAGCACATGCACACACGCATGCATGCTTACACACATACACACACATGTGCACTCACAAATACAACCAGCCGCTAGCTCTGTTTACACAGTTGCCAAGCGACACTGTGGCCAGCCAAGAAATCACATTATTGACAACGCAGACTGGACCGAGGAGGCTTTCTCCTTCCCCATGCACCCATAGTATCAGTCCAGATGGGCCCATCTAGTCCAGCATCCCACCCCCTCCCAGGATCAGAGCCAATGGCCTCTCTCGGCAGGTTCCCACCCTCTTGGCGCTGGCCCAGATCAGGCTGATGGGTCAGAAGAGGGGGGCAGGGATAAGACTAGGAGGGGGGCGCAGAGGATGGGGATACCAAAGGTGTTTCCCAGAAGACAGGGAAAATTTTAGCACATAAGTGCCCCTCCAGAGTTCATGGCAACTGACAGCCATATGTGCCCGACACCTCCACTCCAGCAGGGCAGTGAGGGCTGGTGGTTAGAGCAGGGAGGCTGAGAGCCAGGACTCCTGGGTTCTCTGCCCAGCTCTTGGAGCAGAATGGGAGTGGGTGTCACATGGTGGGGGGGCACGTGCTAGAGCCAGGACTTCTGGGGTCTCTCCCTAGCTCTGGGAGGGGAATGGAGGCTGGTGGTTAGAGCAGTGAGGGCTGGGAGCCAATCTTCCTGCTGTCTAGCCCAGCATTGAAAGTTGAGCCTTTGGTTGTGCAGGTTGTTCCTCTGTTTCCCCACTGGATAACCACCCATACCCAGCAGTTCTGCATCTGTGTGTTGCTTGGGGACCTAGGGACAAATGGCTGGAACTTGAGGCCCTCTTTACTTGTGGAGCTGTGGGGCCGGGGACGCATCCCCACATGGGACATTTCACTCCTTGCAGCCACAGGGTCTTAGATCGGCTGACAGTCAGTGAGGGCAGGAGCTCCAGCCAGGGCCCCAATCCCTCATGCTGGAGCCAGTAGCCTGAGGATGAGGGAAAAAAATTGGTGTGACCTCTATTCTGATCCAGAAGTCCTGGCTTGCCGGTCCCCCCGTCCAGGGCCGACTTATTCATTAGGCATAGTGCCTAGGGCCCACGATACTTTTAGGGGCCCATGAAAATGTTTTCATTTCTTTTAAAATCAGAAGGAAAAAAATGAACTTTTAGGGTCGAAGGAAATGTTTTAATTTTTTTCTCACATCAGAAAAAAATGAAACCTTTAGGGCCCATGAAAATCTATTAAATTTTGCCTAAAACAGAAAAAAAATAAAATGTTGAAGTATTTAAAGTTATATCAAAAATAATTTTTAATTTTTTTTTATGGAGGAAGGGGCCCACAAAGACAAAAGTGCCTAGGGCCCACGAAAGTCGTAATGCGGCCCTGGCTGAGGGGCCTGCGACTGTGGGGCCTATTTCCGCTCCTGAAAACAAAAATAAGGGCTGCACGGTCCCTTTAAAGGGGAATGTGACTCCTGGCCCTGTCTGGTTGCCCCTAATCCCATCTATGTGACATCAGAGGAGGTTGCTGTGGCAACCGGATGCTGCTGGAAATAGGAGACTCAGGTGGGGAGGGAAAGAAGGGGAAGGTGAGCTCTTAAAGGGACCCCTCCCCCAGCACTGAGCTGCTGCCATCTCTGGGGCAGGGCAGCTGATTATCTCCCCACGGCTAATGCATCAGAGCCCACTCCTGTCTCACAAGAAGGGAGAGATCCTGGGCATCTTGCCTCACATACCCCCATGACCTTTCGAGGGACACTTGTGCCAACTCCTGGCCCACTGGCACCTTCCCTCTGTCCCCCCCATTAGCGAGGAAGTGCTATTTACCCACCTCCAGCTGTGTTTGAACAGCCGCTGCCAAGACAAACCAGCCATGCTGCTCCAGACAGCAGCTCTGGGGTAGGTTTCACATGCCCAGTTGCGGGAGGGGGGGGGTCAGGTCCACTTTTCCCTGTTACTGGGACGACCAGTGGAGCCAGTTGCAGGGCTGGGAACCCAGCTCATTGCAGCTCTAGGGGAGCCTCAGGAGCGTGGGTAGATTTTGCCCTGTTTGGTCCTCCTTTTCAAACAGGCACTTAATTGCCTACAGCCCCGGCTTGCTTGGGTGGTTTGTTATTGTAGGGTCTCGGCCCCATAGCCTGAGACACTGTTGTCACAGGACAGGCTCCAGTGGGCTGGGCAATTCAGATGGGTGGAAGAGGTTGTTATAATGGGGCATTATTTATATCCAACGAGGTGGGCAGGTGCTAGCCTGCCCACTGCTAAAGGCCCCTCCCCCAGCCCTGTGGTAGTGACCATTGGACCCGGTTTTCAATTAATTACAGGGGACAAATAATGAAAAACAGGGCCCAGGGTGTAGGTCAGAGGTTTAAAACAAGGGAACCAGATGGGGACACCAAGCAGAGAACCCCGGACAGCGCCCACTGCTCCTCAAAACTGTCCAAGGAGCCAGCGGACGCTGCCCAGAGGAACTCTGCCCAGATTTGTGAGACTAGGGAGCAGTCACAGAGCACCCCCTCACCCAGCATCCTCCTCCTGGTATTGTGCATAGCGGCTTCTGCCAGGGCCAGGCTGACGAGGAGGTCTCGCGACTTAAGCGGGGCCATGGCCGGGGTGTGCATAAAGGAAAATGTGTGGGGGAAAGTGTAGCCAGAAGCTCAACAACAGAATCTGGAGAAGCCAGAAAGGGGATGCAACCTGGCACATTCAAGATAGGCATGCACCAGGTTCAGACGTACAGATGTTCAAGGCAGCCATCTGGGGGTCCTGGGATGGGGGGCCATGGAAGAGGGACCCAAGAAAAAGGGACGGAGGGCTTGTAGTGGGGAGGGGGCGCGGGGCCTACTCTCCCATAGGACTCGTTGTAGGAAACTGAGAGTAGGTTGCAACATCGTAGCCTTCACCTCCTGGTGCATACGCAGGGGGTTTGGAGGATGGAGAGCCCCATGTGCTGAGCACTCGAGGATCCACCCAGTCGTCATCCCCCCAATCATAGTCTAGGAAGTCTCTGACCCTGGTCGTTTCTGCCAGGACCAACCTCCAGTGCACTGAGGGAAACTCTGCCACCTGCATCCACATTATGATAGGGCAGGGGTGGGGAACCTAAGGTCTAGGTGTCAGATGCAACTCCTGGCTTGCCAGGATCAGGACCCTGAGGCTCGGGGTTTCCCCCAGCACTGGTGAGGGGTGGGGTTTTGTTTTTTTTTGTTTCTCACTTGTGTGCAGCCCCCGACTGATTTTTTCTGTGGGTCAGTGGCCCTGACCCAAAAAAGGCCCTCACCCCTGTGATAGGGTCTTACACATGACAGTACAATCCTGTTTGTTACGGTAGGGCCTACCAGAAGGGAAGAAATCAAGGGACATAAACATAAGAACAGCTGGACTGGGTCAGATCAAAGGTCCATCTAGCCCAGTGTCAGGTGCCCCAGAGGGAATGAACAGAACAGGTAAGGCTAGGGACAGACACCAGTCCTACCCATCCTAATAGTCACTGATAAACCTATCCTCCCTCATACGAACATAAAAGGGGCAATGTAGCCCCCCAGAGGAAGGGCTAGTGGTTAGAGCACTCTGCCACAACCCACACCAGAGGGCACAAAGACAGCCCTATAGTGGGAAGGCCCCATGTCTCCTTCCCTGCCCCCCGAGCCGGCCAGATCAGAACCATTGCCCTGGCAGGAAATAGAGATAGCAGAGGAGGTAGCTGGGAAAGCAACCCTACAAATAGGATCCAGGGACAGATCCAGTCAAAACTGCCCATGCTGGCAGGTTGGGCCCCACTCTCCCCCCCAAACATAAGCCGGCACAAAGTAAGACAATAAAAAAGTTTTATGGCTCCCAACAACAAGTTGATACAAAACTGAGTGCACATGTACAGAACCTCTTCCTCAAGCAGCATCCACCCCAATTCTCCATAGCTCAGCAGCCCGCAAAACTCAAAACCAGCCCTCAGCTGCCCTTCCCTGACCTCCCACAAAGGCCGTGCCCCTGGGTCTGCAGCATCACACAGCAGGAGGGGCTGGATCGTGCCCCCCGCTCTCCCCGCACCACCATAGCTGCAAGCAGTTCTGGCCCCCAGCTGGGCGCTGCGGGTGCCCAGATCCTCCTCCTTCGTCCTCCTCGCTGCTGTCCCACGGCTCCAGGAACTCACGCTGGCCGGAGGCACTGGCCAACATGGGCAGGCTGGGGTGCAGGCTGGAACAGAGGGGAGACAGGGTCAAGAGGGCGCAGCAGCCCCTACACTCCCATCTCAGAGCCAGGGAGAGAACCCAGGCATCTGGGCTCCCCATCCATGGTACCTGATCCCATTTACGCAGTCCTGCAGGGCCTGGAACTGAAGTGCAGGTTCCAGTACTGGCTCCATGTCTCCAGTGGGGGGCTGAGCTGTGTCCCAAACAGAGACCAGACCCTCCGTGGTTCCACTCACCAGGAAGCGGCCACTCCTGTGGGGAGGAGGACACCCAATTGAGAGGCTGTAGCCGGGAGGATGGGGTGGAATTTATGACTCCGAAAGGCCCTTGGGCTTCACACCCCACTGCCAGCTGGGAGACAGGACACCAGGTTCCCTTCCAGGCCCCCAATGTCTATCTGAAGGGGCATTATTTGGGGCATTATAGTAGCAGCAAGCCACCCCATGCCAAGGGAGGAATGGACACATTGTGCCAGGCACTGCTCAGCCCCATGGCAAGTGACACTACCTGCCCCACAAAGGAAGGAGCATTATCCCTCCTCTACAGGTGGGGAAATTGAGGCACCGAGCCAAAAAGTGACTTGCCTTTGATTATACTGAATGTGTCTCAGAGCCGGGGATAGAGCCCAGGAGTCCTGGCTTCCAGCCCCCTCCCTGCCTCCCTCCAGCTCTAACCACTAGACTCCACCTCTCTCCCAAAGCCAGGGGGAGAACTCAGGAGTCCTGGCCTGCAGCCCGTGAGCAGAAATGTCGGGGCGGGAACAGGTGTTTCCCTGGCCCCACAAGCGGAGGGCATCTGCCAGGTGGGTGGGGGACACTCACGGCTCTAGGTCGAAGTAAAGGCGCTGGTTGGTGGCCACCATGCGCTGCATGGAGAACAGCACCCGGTCAGGTTGCCGCAGGTCCCAGCAGAGGATCTTGGGGTCCTGTGAGGGCAATGGGGTGGCCGTGAACCTGGCATAGTCCATTAGAGAACCCTGACACTCATCCCAAGCTCCACCCGCAGCAGCCTCCCAGCCCTGCCAGGCTCTACTACTGGAGGCATTCCAGGGACCCAGACCTCACCCCCACTGATGCAAATTGGGCCCCAGAACAGCAGAATGCCAAGGCTCTGCCTCCGGCTGCTGATTCCCACCCCCAGCTCCTTTAGGCTCCACTCCCAGGCCCCCAAGCCTCTGCCCTAGAATCCACAGGCTCTGTCCCCAGCAGACTCCTGATTCACCCCCACCCCAAGTGTGACAAACTCTGCACTCAGCAATCCTGCCCAACCAAGGCTCCATCACTTCTCAGTCCTTGCCCTCCAGCCCTGCCTACCTTGCGCCCACCAGTGAAGAGGCAGGTGCCATCAGGTGAGAAGAGGGTGTGAGTAACACCACCCCGGTGGCCCTGCAGCATAGCCAGCAGCACACCCTCGGCCCGTGAGTACAGCCCCACCGTCCGGGAGTAGGAGGCGCAAGCATAGAGGGGTTGGGTTGGGCTGAAGGCGATGCAGGAGATGATACCACTTTGCCCCTGTTTCTTGGCTGTACGAGGGATAGAAGGGACAGAAAACTGAATAGTTTAAAACCAACAGGCACCCCTAGAACAGCTTTCCCACCTCTTCTGCTCAGCACCGAGCCATTGACTCTGGAACTTAGTGACGGTCAGTTTTTCCAAATGTCCATGCAGTGGTGGCCTTATGTCACCATGATGGGAGTAGAGCTGTGTCTGCGTCTGAGCCAGCACAGCCCCTTCATGTACCCTGATCACCTGAGCCATATGTTAATTCTGGACCCTAACAATGAGATGCCAGCTCCCTATTTCAACGTGGTGGGAACTGGGAATGACCTATTACGCCCCACTCCCTTCATTTACCCTGTCTGCCTGAACCTCAATAGTGTATTGCCTCTTGATCTCAATGACAGCAAAATGCCAGATCTCTATTTCACCACAGAAAGGAGGAAGTCATTCCTACATTCCCTTCAGCCTCTCCTGACCTGAAACCGCTGCTTCAAATCTTGGCAGCCCATTACGTGGGGAACTTACCGATAACAGGGATATGCCTAATGGCTATTGCACTGGAAGAAGGGGAGCTGCAGCAGTCAACACATATTCCACCCCCACAAATCCTCTTCCTAAAGTAAGTCTTGAGGTCTGTTAACTCTGAAGCCTACCAATGACATTTTGGAAGATTTATTTCACTGTGGCAGACAGCTCACGTAGAGCCTCCATTCATCCCCTCACACACACATCCAAGTTACTATGATTCAAAGTGATGACAACGTATTGGCACCTAACAACGATGACCAAGAACAATTCCCCATTTCTGTTCAAAAGCTGCAGCATCATCCCTCCCTTGATCTCTACAGGCCTCTCCTGCCCCGCCATTAACACTGAAGCCTAATGACATGTTACAAAGCCAGCACTGACGTGCCATCAGTAGGTGCGGTGCCAGGGGACACGCTCACCAAATGTTGGACGGCTCTCGCACATGCGCCCCGGGCGCTCCGTGTCGAACACCCGCACAGCCTTGTCAAACCCACAGAACAGCTGGGAGCCGTCGGGGGTGAAGCACAGAGAGTGAGCGGCTGTTAGCTCATCCTGGGGACAGATGCACAGAGAGAGGTGTCAGGACTCCTGAGTTCTACCTTGGCTCCGGGAGGGGTTGAGGCCTAGTAGTTAGAGCACAGGAAATGGGAACCAGGCTCTGTACCCACCAGGTGGTTGTAGCAGCGGAACGTGGCCCGCAGTTCCCCATGGAAAGCGTCCCACACATGGATGGGGTTGTCTCGGCTGCTGCTGGCAAAGCTGCAGGATCACAAGCGGGAAACATGAGTGTGCAGGACAGGGGGACAATGGTGGAGCCAGCGCTCCAGAGTGTGGACAGGCCACATGTCCCATTCCCCGCCCCCTTGGGCCAGACAGTCCCTGCCCAGGGCCTGATGAGAAAGGCTTGCACTCTCTCTCAGTGCAGTGGGGTAGACAGCCCGTCAGTAGGGGACGCCCTTTGCAGGCTGCAGCATTTACAAGCAGGTGGGGGGATCCGCAGAGCTCATCAGCGGGAACCAGCAATAGTCATAAACGGTGTCTCCCTCAGCCATTCGCAGCACAGGACTCTGGGAGGAGACAGACACACAGATATGGACAGTCAGGCAGCAAAAGGTGCATCACGGCATGGTGGGGCAAGAGAGAACAAACAGAGCCAGAACTCCTGGTTCTGGGGAGTGAGGACTAGTGGTTAGAGCAGGGGGCTGGGAGCCAGGACTCATGGGTTCTCTTCTTATCTCTGGGAGGGGAATTCAGGCTGGTGGGGGAGCAAGAGATTTTAATTCTTCAGACATGTAAGCCACGAGCAGACTACAATTTGGGGGAACACCCCAGCCCCTTTACCAGCTGACTAGCCCCATCCTGCCTGCCAGGACAGCTATGGCGGGGGGCCCTCCATTTAGAGGCTGTCCCCCACCCACACACCCATGGAACCAGCACAATCCCACCCCCACAGGGAGCAACTCTCCCTCGACAAGCTCCTCCTGCCCCACTCCCCAGCAGTGCCCCTCCCTCCTACCATCTCAGCCACGTCCCCCCACTCCGGGCCGTACAGCTCCACGGGCAGGTTGTAAATGCGCAGGGTGTGATCAGCGCTGTTGGTCAGGAGACAGGAGCCATCTGGGGCCCTGGAGAGAGGAAGGCAGAGCCAGGCCATCAGGGTGACCCCTCTGCCCTAGAGCTGGGGAGAAAACCCAGAAGTCCTGGATCCCAGCCCCCACTGCTCTAACCCACCAGCCTCTAGTCCCTGCCCAATGCTCGGCTAGAAATTCCCTGTGCCTCAGTTTCCCCACTCACTCTTCTGTACTGAGGGTATGAGCAGCACCCATCCCATTGTGGGAAGCCCTCAGCCCTGCCCAGCAACCAACACAAGGGGGTCCCAGTCCAGGGAGTTAGAGGAAACAATTTTGGGGCTCTGTGCTGCACTGAGAGTAGCCTATTTCCACGAGGGGGTGCTATGCCACCCACAGCCCTCCAGGGGCCTCCAATCCCAGGGCAGAGTCCCCAGATATCTACCCTTCCCCAGGCCCCAGCCCAGCCACCTACCACTTGCAGCCCTTCAGGAAGTTCTCTGGCACCTGGCTGTATTCGCCCCAAGCGCCTGTCAACAGCTTGGGGGGAGCCAAGAACTCATAGCCTGGAAGGCTGGGAGGGGGAAAAGAGAGGAAGACACTGGTACAAAGGAAGCCCAGGACACCTGCTCTAACTCAAGCAGCTCCCACTGCCCTCAGAGCCAGAACCCAGACGTCCTGGCTCCCAGCCCTTACCCCCAGTTTTAATGAGCTAGTCTCTGGTTCACACAGCAGCTCAAAACACCCCTCCCCAGCTCAGCCCCCACAATCAGAACCAGATGCTCCCCGTGCCGCTGAGATCCAAGATCAGCAGCTGTATGTGTGGGGCCCCACTTGTCACCAGGTCCTTACTAGCCCTCATCTTCCCATGCCGCTTCTTGCCCTCCATCCTCCACCGCTTCATCCCCGTCCTCTGCCGGCCCCTCACTCTGCACCCGCTCTGGCGCAGATACTGGGGGGGAGCTGTTCTGCCTGGCCAGCTTGGCAGGCAACGCTTGGGACCCGGGGTCCCCTCCAGTGGGGTCATCCACAGTATCACCGGGCATGCCCGGCTCCATAGCACAGAGGGTTCAGCTGGCAGAGCGCTCAGGGATGTCCGTCTTCTGGCTCCAGCTGGAGCTGCCAAGGGTGCCTGGGGAGTCAGTCATTCCCAGAGCGCAGGACGGGCACCTGCAGAGCCAGGCGAGAAAGAGTTAATGGTGCAGAGCAACTGCCAGAGCCTGGGAAAGAACCCAGCTGTCCTGGCTCCCAACCCCCCTGCTCCAACCACCAGCCCCCACTCCCCTCCCAGAGTTGGGGAGCGAACCTTTGAGTCCTGGCTCCCAGCCCCGCCTCCAAGACCAGGTGTCTCCAAGTTCCCGGCTCTTACCCACGATGGGACGGGGGAGGGGAGAGGAATGGCTGGATGGAAGAACCCACTGTCTAGGGGAGCGCGGAATGCATGGAAGAAACTATTCTCGGGGGGGGGGTGGAATAGCCCACTCTCTCCGGTGGAGGGAAGGATAGGTGGAAGAGTACACTTTGTCCTGGGGTGAGGAGGATGGAAGAGTCCAGCTATTTCGTGGGACTAGGGGAAATGGGTTGGTGGAAGAGCCCAATCTTTCCCATACGGAGGCCCCGCGGGAAGGTCCACTTTTTCCCGGGGACGTCTGGAAGAGCCCACTCCCTTAGGGAGGGGGAGGGTGAAAGAGCCCATTCTTCCTCGGGCGGGAGGGAGGAGGATGGAACAGCCCACTCACTCCTGGGGCGGAGGGAGGTGGAATAGTCCACTCTTTGCGGGAGGGCGTGGAAGAACACACTATCTTCGGGGCTCCGCCGTTACCTCCCAGCAGCACCAGAAGCTCAAGGGCTGACGGCGGCCATAGTAGCAGGAGACCCCGCCCCCTCGCACACATCTCGCGAGAGGTGCCCGGAAACGCTACAGGATCCGAACCATTAGCTCCCACGCCCCCCACTGAAATCCCGCGAGATCTCAGCCCCTGAGCCGAGCCCCGTATGTGGCCCAATGGAGGTGGAGGGCGGCTGGGGCGTGTCTATCCGGACTGCGGGGCAGCTGGATCAGGGCGTGCGGGGGCTTGGCTGGGGAGGGAGGGTGGTTGGCGCGGGGGACACAGGCCTGGGGGCTATGCAGCATCCCCTTTGGGGGGAGACATTGGTAACGTGCAATAATTGTTTTATTAGCAGGTAACAAGCCAACAGGAGAGAGCCCCCCAGTCCCAGCTCCAACCTGGGACTGTAACAGTGGGGGTGGGGGGATCTTCTAAGGTGCCACTGCAGCTCTCCGGATGCTTGAGTCCCTTTCTCCCAGGCCGGCTGAGTCCCTCCACAGCTGCCTGGATCCTTTCCCTCAGGATGCCTGAGTCCCTCAGCAGCTCCCCAGATGCCTGGGTCCCTTTCTTACAAACCAGCCCAGTTCCTCAGCTACTTCCCAGATGCCTGGCTTCCTTCCAGGCTGGTCAAGCCACCTGGGCTAGCACTGTTTGTGCTGTACCCATGTGGCTGCCAGGCATCTCTGTGGCCTTGGATTTTGTACAAAAGCCAGATGAGAACCCAGGAGTCCTGGCTCCAAGCCTCCCTCCTCCCCTGCCCCACTTCTAGTCCCCACTCCCTTCTCAGGTCCCAGAAGTTCTGGCCTCCAGCCCCACCGTTGCCAGGATTGTTCAAAGGCCTCCATGATGCAAACTCCATTTGCAACCTTCACAAAGTTTTTTTTTGCCTGGAGTTTCCTTAGTTGTATTGGTTTGTTTCAGGGCAGGTGTGCTTGTCAGCGGCCCCTGTTGGCCAGGGTGGAGTTCTGCTGCCCTCTGGTGATGAACCCCTTTCACACACTCCTGATGGGAGGTTTGGCTCCTGAATCTCTGGTGGCTGAATTCCTCTGCAGCTCCCTGGACACCAGTGTCTAAGTTCTGCCCATCCTGGCCAAATCCCTCTGCAGCTCTCTGGATGCCTGGGTCTCATGGGTGGGCCCTACAGGCGGAATAGGCCCAGGAAGGTCCCATGGGGGCTAAGGTCCAGGGATGCATTGGCTCGAGGGATGCGAAGGCTTAGTCGGTCTCCGCGCTGGAGTTGGAAAACACCTGGGGGGACATTATGGGATGTGTGTGGAGAGCCCACCTCCCAACCTGCTCAGGGACAGATCTCCCCATTCCCTGTAAATCACTCCCCCAGTGGCTGCTTCTCCCTTTTTCCCACTTGCCCCCCCCCAGTGGTCCTTGCCCTGCACCCCCAATAGCTGGAGCCTGCCTCCCAATGCCAGGATTCCCTCACCTGCGCTGTAACAACTGTTGTAGGCTTGCTCCAGCTCACGGGGCATGCTCTGCACACAGCGCAGCAGGATCTGCCCCGGGCCTCCGAGTGGTGCCCGCCACAGCACCTGCCCCATGGTGAATGTAGGGTCATGGAACAGCACCTGGGGGGCAGGGGAGAGGATTGGATTGGCTGTCACTGGGGAATGGGGCAGGGGACTTGTCACCTCAGGGGGGTGCCAGTTCCCATCTGACACCAGGGCAGGAAATGGCTGGCTCAGGGGAGCAGGCAATGGGGCATGGGGCCTGTCCCCTCTAGGTGATGCTGGCGCCCATCCAGCCCCAAGGCAAGGATTGGCTGGCCCACGGGGTGGGCAATGGAGTACAGGGCCTATTCCCTCTAGGTGGTGCTGGCTCCCATCCAGTCCCAAGGTAGGGATTGCTGGCTCAGGGGTGGGCAATGGAGTTTGGGGCTGTCCCCCATAGCAGGGGGCTTTTACCTGGCTGTAGATGAGGTACAAACCCGTCTTCTTCACAGTGATGTCTGGGCCACTGATTTCCAGTGCCTGGCCCTGCTGCAGGAAAGGCTGCCACCAGATCTCAGTCATGTCCCCTTCGTCTGCAAAGCAGATGGGAGGCTGTTAGTGCCCCTTTGCTCCCAGCTCCTCCTGATCTACCCTGTTGGAGCCAGCTCCCCTCCTGGGACAGGAGAAAACCTAGGAGTGCTGGCTCCCAGCTCCCTCCTGCTCTAACCCACCAGCCCCTACACCTCTCCCAGAGCCAGGGAGAGAACCCAGGAGTCTTGATTTTCAGTGTGGGTCACCCATAGAAGGAGGGTACTGTGGTAGGGTGTTGAGGGGGTTGATGACTCACCATTGGTGGAGCAGTGGCTGGGGGCCAGATGCAGAACCGATCGTTTCCCTGGGGATAAGTTGGAGAGAGAGAGACTGTGACTTGCCAATTTCCCTCCCCATAACCTGCCCTTCCTCTCTGTTTGCTCTCCTTTACCCTAGGCTGCCAAAGCCTGGATCTGCCACTGGGAACTTAAACAGCCCTACCAGGTGGCACTTGATCCCACTGCTCACACCAAGCAGTGTGAGCCAAAGGGCTTTAAGTCTGGTGTCCCCAGAACTGCCAGGTTACAGCCCAACCTCAATGCTAGGTACTATCCCCAGAGCATCTCAGGCGGCACCACGCAAGGTCCATAGTTTCACAGAGATAATCAGTGAGGGATCCCATCTCTGCCACCATCTCAGCTTGGGGTTCCACTGTGGGAGCAGGGAGTAACAGCTCTTACCAGAAATTGACCTGAGGTCAAGAATTGGAAGCAGAATCCAAGCCTGATACCTCTGCCATCAGGGATGACTCCAGATTAAGAGAGGTGAGATCATCATGTCTTTCAGGAGTCCGGGGAGCCAGGCCTGCTCCTGGGGACCCTGTTGCGGCAAAGAGGGAAGAGGTTCTCCGAGAACTCAAGGGACCAGGACCAGCGACAGCCACATAGTCAGTGTCTGGGGCTGGCGGGAGGCAAGAGGGAGGAAGGGACAAGTGGCTGCAGCTGTCAATCTATGTGTGTGTGTCCTCTTCTCCCTGGCTGTGTCTACATTGGCATCCCTTTCCGGAAAAGGGATGCTAATGAGACACTTTGGAATTGCAAATCCGCGGGGGATTTAAATATCCCCCGCAGCATTTGCATATACATGGCTGCCGCTTTTTTCTGGCTCGGGGTTTTTGCCGGAGAAAAGCGCCAGTATAGACGTGATTCTCCGGAAAATAAGCCCTTTTCCAAAGGATCCCTTATTCCTACTTGAAAGTACTTGAAAGTAGGAATAAGGGATCTTCCGGAAAAGGGCTTATTTTCCGGAGAATTGCGTCTATACTGGCGCTTTTCTCCGGCAAAAACCCCGAGCCAGAAAAAAGCGGCAGCCATGTATATGCAAATGCTGCGGGGGATATTTAAATCCCCCGCGGATTTGCAATTCCAAAGTGTCTCATTAGCATCCCTTTTCCGGAAAGGGATGCCAATGTAGACACAGCCAGGGAGAAGAGGACACACACACATAGATTGACAGCTGCAGCCACTTGTCCCTTCCTCCCTCTTGCCTCCCGCCAGCCCCAGACACTGACTATGTGGCTGTCGCTGGTCCTGGTCCCTTGAGTTCTCGGAGAACCTCTTCCCTCTTTGCCGCAACAGGGTCCCCAGGAGCAGGCCTGGCTCCCCGGACTCCTGAAAGAACGACGGACAGGAGAGGGTTAACCCCGGAACAGAGCTATTGCTCTAACTCCTACACGCCACTCCCTTCCCAGAGCTGTGGAGAGAACCCACAGGAGTCCTGGCACCCTGCCCTCCTGCTCTAACCCACCAGCCCCCACTCCCTTCCCCGACCCGAGCAGAGCACCCGGGAGTCCTGGCTCCCAGCCCTCCTGCTCCAGCTGTCCCCACGCCCCTCCCGGATGTGGGTGTAGCTGGGCAATGCTCGTTGGAAGTGGAACTAAGGAAGCGAGGCCGCTGTTCAGCTCTGTAAAGATTACCCAGACCTGCAGGGCAGTTACACAATGTGCAGGGGCCCGGGGGGCGGCCTGGGTTCCCTCCCCGGCTCTGGGAGGCGGTGGGGGCCGGTTGATCTTAGCAGAGGGTGGGCGGGGAGCCAGGGCGCCTGAGTTCTCTCAGCAGATCGTGGACAGGAGTGGGGGCTGGGAGCCTTCCCCTCCCCCTCGCGGGGTTTCCCAGAGCTGTGGGTCGTTTCCTCCTCCGCCCGCGCTAACGATCGGTCCGGGCTTTGCGTTTGCGGCTTCGCATGTCCCCCAGCCCCGCGCCCACCCCAATGGGGGGGGGACCCTCAGTTTTTTAACCCTTCTGGGGTCTTCCCTCGTGGAGAATAAGGGGAGAGAGAAAGCAAAGCAGCGCCTCGGATTTTCCCTGGTAAGATGCCCCCTCCTAGGGCCGGGGAGAGAACCCAGTCCTGGCACCCAACCCCCCCTCTAACCAGCAGCCCCCACTCCTC